TTCAACCGTCGTTGCCCGTTGCCTTCAACCGTCGTTGCCCGTTGCCTTCAACCGTTTCTCAGAGCTTAGCGGTTTCTCTCAGCTATGAGTTTGAGATCAATGGGTTTTTTCTGTTCAAACTTCGAACTTGCCTCTCTTTTTTGTTTTTGTTGGGACCAACTTCATTGCTGGATATTAAATTCGGGTTTGGGTTCCTCACCTACCCGATTGCACAACGTTATCCCAATTCTCCCCAGCCCTTGGATTGATCCAATGACTATAAAGTGAACCCCTTATAACTTACCCTTTATAACTTACCCCTCATTATAGTCTGGCCCTTACTTTTGGGGAGTCATTTTATAACAAGCACATTATTTAAGGTCTTTATATGAGGTTCAATCTTGTAACTGTTAGATTAAACTAACCAATGCATTATCTAAGATCCTTAGATGAGGTTCAATCTCGTAACTATTGGATCAAACTAACTAATATATCTAACGATTAAGAAATAAGACTTCTATCAACCCGTAACTATTGAATATTCTTATTCTTATACTTATTGGGATACTCATTTGTATGGGTTGATAGTTGGCATGATGCTCATGTTTTTAGGCCCATAACCTTTTGTAATTTTTCATTTTTTCAAAAGACAACAGTAGTTGATCTGAAACTAGAGTTTTCATTGAATCAGTGGATTCTTAAAATATAATTATATTTTGTTTCAAGTATCAGTGGTAGAACCAACACGAATCTTGAGCTTGGCTTGGCATCATGTATCATTCATGAGCTTCAATTTTCTCTCTACAAAAACTAAGACGAGCAATTTTTCAGGCACCAAATTATGCACCACATTGTATAATAATACAACACCCATGCTGCCAAGAAAAGTAAATACTTTTTATTCATTCAGATGCCAAAGAAGACGACTTGCAAGAGAACAAACACTATGTACACATACATGATACATATAGCAGATTAGATTAGCAACTCCATCCGCATTTCTTACATCTTACATACAAAACTACTCTCTCTCCCTTCCTCCCTCTCTCTCTCTACATATATATATCACATACAATCCATATATATATAGCTTGAAAACAAACACCACACCACCCAGCAACACCCAAACTTAGCAAAGAAAGGGCTTAATCATATCACTACATGTCGTCCTTCGATCACACGTCGAAAGGAGACCGGGGGCTGCTCCTTGCTCCTCCTCCACCAACCTGGCTTGCCTTCTCGTATGCATCCGATGCCGACCTCCTTCTGAATCTTCCCATGCTGCTGCCTCCTTATCATCAACATTCAAAACAAAACATCATCAACAAACACTCAACCCTTGACCTGCTTCAGTTTATTCTTCACCTATTTAATTATTAGTGGGGGACAATAATATCTACTTAATATATCATCGTTAGGTAAGATTCCCTACCACTATTGTTAAATCACCAATCAATAAGGACACAAACGTCATTTCACAACCAAACAGATACTACTCCTTCATATCATATCTGTATGTATCTAGACAGAAATCTGACTAGAAAATTGAAATTTGGCCCAACCACATTATTTTAAATTACGAACGTGCCCCTTGTCTCACTATATCCAGTAAGTATCAAGGCAGGCTCCACCATTTGTGGAGACTTGGCCCCACCATGGTATACAGTGAGCCAGGGGTACATCTGACATTCCAGATGCTTACCAGAAAACGGAGACACCGGAGGCGTAGACCCAGCTGGCGAAATCGGAGGCGATCCGCTGTTACCGCTCCCATATCCTGGGGGTTTCACTATCATAATACTCCGTGTTACTCTCGTCGCCTCCTCTGTCGAATCCTCACCGTACGATCCCACGTTCCCTCCGTCCGACGAGCCTAATTCAAACAAAATCAAAGCAAATTAATATAAGCCGCGCGATCTAAACATTCTAATGCTTGAACTTCATTTTGGCCGGTCTGATTTTATTTTCAGTTTCATTTAAATATAAGATTTGCAAAGTCAGCCTTGAGTATATGTTTATGGCGTGTGCTAACATGCGCCTGAAGCTTAGGATAAGAGAAAATGGACGCACCGTTGGCGGAGCTGGATCGGAAACTGAAGGTTTTGTGCTTGCGGAGCTTGCCAAGACCGATATCGGGCCGAGGCCCGGCGACGGTGTCGTCCCAGAGCTGGTCAAGTAGGCCCATGTTATATGTCGTGCACGGGCAGACACTGGATGATAGCAAAACTGGCGTAACTTAACGATTGCAGTGGGATTGGACTAAGAGGGAGTGAACGGGGGGAGTTTGGGAGGTTATTTAACGACCATGAGGGCGTTAAAGATCGAACAGGTATGCTGGATCGAGACTGATCTGGAACGTTCGTCGGATCCAGAGTGAGGATGGTGACTTGGCAGGTGGATCGAGGAGCACGTAATTGGCGATAAGATCGAAGTGACAGGCGGACCCCAGGAGATGGGAGATTAAAGGCGGCGATAACACGAGGAGTGAACGAAAAGTCATTGGTCCAGGCACAGAAACTACCAGAATGCCCTCAACTTTATCCAAACTGAAATGAAATGGGCTTTTGTTTTGGACAAAATTACAAAGTTTTGGGTAATTGGCTTTGGGCCTACCTTGTGCTTCAAATGGGTTGTGTTTCCCATTTTGGGCTGGCCTTCTTCTACGAATTTCCAATTATAAGTCAATTTTTTGACCACATTTTACAAAGTGCATTCACATAAACAATAACACATTCAAATCAAAACCAAAATCAGGTTACTAGAAGTCTCCATTGCATCAACAATCAGAATTTCCAATGGTGTTCGTGATCACAATAACATAACACAATAGAAAAACTTCAACTGAATTGATACTCGAACCCGAGTAATTGTTCATCGTTGTCTCGCAGTCGAAATCAGAGGAGTTTGACACCTGCTTCCACCACACTGTCAACGACAGCTTTAACCTTACCATGATATTTCTGTTCTCTCTTCAACTGGACGGATACAGCAGGGATGTTCTTGAGCAGGAGGCGCTCCCCCAATATCTTCCCTATCTTTCCAGCAGCAGCAACGTCCCGGCGTATCTCCATGCTTTCTCTCAAGGCCTTTTCCTGGGAGCTTGCAGAAGAAGCTACTGTGGCGGTTGGTGTGTGGATTACTTGTGCAGTTACGTATTTGTTTGTGAAGTGCATTTTCAGAACATAAGGCTTTAGATACTTTGTAATACGCGGTGGCCTGACCGGAGGAATGCCCATTTCTGTCTGCAAATAATTCACAAGTTCAACCATAAAAATCAACAGGAAAGTTTAATATCCAGGACGCCAGAAAAATCGAACACAAGGAAACACACTAGAATTATCTAGACTCAGACAAGTGGTACAAGAAGAAAAATGAAGCAATAATGCATTTTTACCAACATATAGAACTGCCATGATGCAGGAATATATGAAAACCAAAGCTACTACATGAGGCAGCAATGCAATGGAATTCCTCAGTTTACAATGGCATATGATTCTATCAAATAAACCAGAGCTCGGGACAAAAAAAAAGTTGTATATCAGTTAGGAAATATATACTCTCTATGCCTCTATGGTACCTACACAAAGTATTAATCACTTTTAAGAATTTTAACCCCGATCACTATAAATGATCAAACACACTCTGTGGCATGTATCAGACCAAATTAATAGGCATATCTCTAGAGAACAGTTATAATTAATTTCCCAGTATTTGTTTCTGTTGGTTTTTCATTCGCAACCTCTATCAAACAATTGGTGTGCAACTTCTTCAGCTCCAAACCTACACCATATTCTATCTATGATCATGATATGGGTTCTTCCTAATAAGCACATAGAACCGAAAAAACTTTAACTTTTACATTCATGTATCTCTGTTTGGTTCCCAGGAAAACACAAGACTAGAAGAAAAAATAAATGTGATTGAAGTTCAACCAAAAAACTAAAAATTTGCCGCTTAATTTATCAAAGTAACAAAGAAAACGATATTTAAATTTCGCAAAAAGGATAAAAAATTGAAGTTGAAAACGGCGTACCGAATGGGATATCTCGCAGAGAAAGCTTGAAGTGTTGGATTCAGAACTCAAAGAAGGGCTCAAAGTTCAGAGCTTCAAAAATGGTTTCATTGGCCAAAACGAAGTGGCAGATGTCCCTTTTTCTTTCCCTTCTCTTTTACGAAGGGTAGAGAAATGGGCCATTTTTTTTGGGCTTACAAATACAACTTATCATACAAGCCCGCATTATGTTTGGGCCTTTTGTTTATTCTACTAGTCCAAGCCTAAGTCTAAAGAACATTTTGTGACATTTTATTCAAAAATTGTATTTTGAGATAAGATATTTGTAGTTCAAGTGACTAAGAGCGTTTATTTTTGGGAGGCACTTGTAGCTCAAGTAATTAAGAATATTCATCTATGGAGTCGATGTTCTAGTTAGATTCCTCGTCCTCTAATATCAACTGTATATAAAATCCATCTCAGGAGCCGAGGAATAAATCTATCTTTTTAGAAATTTGATCTTGGAACCTAGTCGAATGAACTTTTTGGCTAGTTATTGTGCTAGACTTCAAGTAAACATGAGCATGAAAGAAACATTTTCATCACACAAAAGAAACCCACAATTTGAAATTGGTAAAGGGCTAGTTAAATTTGTGTACCAATGACAAAATGGGGTAAACATAACAGAACCCACAAGTGAACCAAGCTGGTTTGACAAATTCAAGAAGTGAGTGATTGTCACAAATACCACCATTGAAGAGACCTTGGTGATTTGCAGAAGGTATCAGAGAGAAGAGACATAGGTCAGAATAAATAAAAATCCACCATAAACTATGGGGGGTGAAGTTTGAAGATAGAAAAATAGGTACACTACCAAAGATAGGGAATCATATCCACCTAGGGACTAACCCTTGCCCTCTCAAAACCCAACACAACAATATTTTTTTTACACAGACCCATCTCACCCTCCTTCCCTTCCCCTTTAATCAATCAAACACTTTAACAAAATTGCCTCCAACACGCAACCTCTTCTCAGCAACAACAGGTAATGTCATCTTGTCCACCCACTCACTATTCTGCTTCTGTTTTCACCTCCCCCCATCTTCTCTCTCTTCATTCTTCACCACCACCATCATCATTTCTTGGTCATAAAGGTCAATATCCTTTTCATCTTTTGCGGGGAAGATTATCCGCAAACATCCCAATTAAGCAAATGAACAGAAATCCATTTATAAATGCTGGCAATGTCTACATTTTCTGGTTATAGACTTGGATGTTTGGAATTAAGTATCATTATCAGAAATTAACCATCAGTCTGTCACCCAAATCTGAAACCATGACACGAGATTTTGGAGAAATATCCAGTGCAAATTACACGTTGGGGAGAGGTAAATTGGCGGCAGGATAGTACCTCACAAAGTGACGTTTTTTATTATCTGAAAATATCTCACAACATGACCAGTACTTAATCAAACAGATGAGATGATCACTGAGCCAATGTCATACACGGGGTCAAATCTATTGCCATGCCAATGCCATCATTTCTGCTCATACAAACAGAACCACTTTCTTCTGATCGTGTTTGTGCACCACTCGATCGAAAATCAAATTATAAAGTATGGTTCACTTTTTTCAAACAGAGAGGGCACTGTTTCAACAAAATATATGCATTAAAGACCCCGCATTGCATTTTTTTAATAGGTCATGATTAAACAATTGAATTGGGTTTTTAACGTTGAAAACTTTCAAGTCTTCAATTGCTTTTGCTTCTGATTTCAAATGAGGTCTTTAAAGAATGGACACTTCAAGACTCAAAGTCTTTACTCTGTTTCTCATTGAGTCTTTCTCTCTCCTAGAAAAAGTTGTATATAAATGCATGGCCTCCCTCACCATTTTGATTCACACCTTTGGTTGAAACATAACCTAATGGTTCAAGAAGATGGGAGGAGTATGGTGGCTTAACTTAGCCCATGATGCATCATGCATGGGTGAGTAGCTCTTGTTGGAGAAGCAGGGCACGTGCAAGTTCTAGCTCAAATGCTTCTGCATGGGAGCTTAAGCTAAGCTTAGAGCAAAACTTTGCACGTGCTCCCCTTCTCCAACACAAGTTTCTCACCTCTTTCTTTCTAGCCCTGTTTGCCGAACAAGCCATGTGAATTCTAAAAAGGATGGTAAGCTCCAATTTTCCTCTGGCTATCTTCTTTTTTGTCTTAGTTTTCTACTATTACACATGCCATTTGTTTTCTTAAATCTGTTTCTTTGAAATATCCTTGCTCTGCTCTGACTCTGACTCTGTTCCAGTTTTTTAAGATCTCTCTCTCTCTCTCTCTCTCGGAATGAGAATGTCAAAATATGAGGCTGCCCCATGAATCATGATCACAAAGACACGGAAGTCTGCCAGCATGAATGTGTCTCAAGTATATTATGGACTTTTTGTGTGGTCCTTCAATCTATATGTTGGCTAGTACAACTGGCGTTTTTATTGAACAAGATTGTAATGTAACTGGATGACGGTATGGATATACATGTGAGATGACCAAGAACCAACAATTCTATCAATACCAGACATTTTTCTGTATTTTGACTTGTTGACATGATTTTTTGGCACTCAAATCTTCTACTCAACCTTGCAACCGGAGATAAACATAGTTCTTTTCTTGCTAAGCATAAACTTGGAAATTAAAATTGAATGGATTAAACTTCTTGGTTTCATTTTGGCCCGAGGTTCAAATCGATGTAAATAAGATGTAGAAAGCACAGCTTCAGTTCAGAGCCGGAAACAAGTAAAAGCAATATGGTACATGATGACCATGCATGCTCAAAAGGGTGGCAATTGAGTAGGTGCTATAAAGTTGTGAACCAAAAAAATAGGGTAGGTTCTGTAAGACCTTCAAAACTTGTTAACTTGGGCAATCAAATATGCATGAATTTGGAGTTATTTTTCCACCATAGTTGTGAAAAAAGCAAATTAATTTAGTCCCATTATATCCTTTGGATCTAACCCATTGAAGAAGTGACTGACAGTTTTGACTCTTTGACCAACTATACTTAATTATGCAAATGGTACTTGACCTTCCATTTCCTTCTCTCTCTTTCTCTCTCTCTGTGTAGTTAATTGGTGCAAGCAATGGTATGGGTTAAGCGCATTGAGGCAGGCTGAAGCAAAAACACACACGTTTGAGACTGACCAGTTTCAGTTTGACAGAAAGATGGCGTAAGGTTATACAAATTTGGCAGTCAAAAAGAAGGGATTCTAAACAAGGGGTACTTGCACTTTGCCTTATAAAGTGGGGGATTCTGCCATTTCCCCCTCTTTTTTTATTTAGTCTTGTGGGAAGCAAGTTTGGTTTGGATAGGGCTTTGGAGTTTTGGAAATTGAAGTGAGAGGGAGGGGGGGACAAACAAAGAGAGATATGCAGTGCTGCTGCTGCCTGCCATATTCATAAAACCTTAAATTGCAAGCAATGCTTTGAACGCAGAGAGAGAGAGAGAGAGAGAGAGAGAGATGAGAGAGAGGAGGAATATGTCATAGGTGGGAGTGTTTGGACACGCAATGCACAAGTATCAAGGCTTGGAAAAGCAATACAATCATTATTTCACATGCCTGGTTATTTATGCTTGGTTGGTTGTTTGGTCTTCAATCAACCTACATGTCATGCTGAATAAGCAAACCAATCTTTTGCTTTTTTCTTCTTTTGAATTTGGGGTCAGAGTCTCCAATCTTCTTCACTGTGCCATACCATTCTTAGAAAGCTCATCATCCATTGGAGAACTATTTCCTAGCATGCTCATATTGAAGAGGGTAAAATACAATAGGTAGTAAGTACAATGAGTGCATCCAATTTTCAGTCTCAATTCAACCAATTCATCTATTAAAGAAACGTCACAAAGATTATTGTACAGGAAAGCTGTTTTGGGTCGCAGTGATTTTGCCCATTTTTATTCTTAATGTTTTATTATTATTTTATGTAAGACAAGATAAGAGTTGACTAAAGTAGAGAAACTTTGTGTAAAGAGTGATAAGTGCATTATTTTCTATATTTTTATACCTTTTATATTTGGTTTTTGTATTGGAAGTTAATTAAAAAGAGTATTATTACCTTACTTTTCTTATTTTCAGTTATTCTACACTCTTGTAAGGATTTCAACTGAAAATCAACTTTTCAAATGAATTTTAGCGCAAAGCCAATTGGAGAAGAAAGATAAAGACATTGAAGATTATTGTGTCAAAGTTTCATAATTTTCCACCAAACCAAATGCTCCAAACTGACAAGTCAAGACAACCTAAGTTGAAATTCCGTCAGAACTGCACTGCTGTGGAAGATTGAAGATTTGAAGACTTTTCCGATTTTTCCTAGTCACATGTGATATGTGCTTAGAAAGCTTAGAGATCAAGCTACATTTTTCATATTTATATTAATTTTTCACCATGAGTATTTGTTACTGTTCTTAATATAACTATAAAAATTAAGTATTCATGGTTAGGCTACATTGTAGCCCTAGTAAGGGAAATTAGTTCATGACAAAAGAAAGGCTAAACAAAAAAATTGTTGTCATACAACTGATTTGGCAGATGGATTTTATCTCTAGATTCTCCACAGCAACACCTTTGTAAGCTCCAAAAGCACTACTACAGCAACTCTTGGCTCTCTCTCTAATATATTTGTTGGTGTCTTGAAATATGGTGAAAAAGTATATGGTGTGTGGTTCTTAGAGAGAGCTTAGGGTAACCTTATATAGTGTAAAACAACTAAACCTTACTCTAAAAAAAAGTTTCGGAAAAAACTCTCTTAAAGCAAAACAAAATCTCAAACAATTAATGAAACAAACTAGGAAATAATCCTTCTTTGACTTGGAAACACGTCAGCCAACTTGCACGCACGTTTTGGGGTCTTTCCACTTCCTAGACAATTCTGGAAAAATATGAGAAGTGTAGCTTGATCTCTAAGCTTTCCAAGCATATATCACATACCACTAGTAAAAATTACAAAGTCTTCAAATCTTCAATCTTCCACAGCAGTGCAGTTCTGATGGGATTTCAACTTAGGCTGTCTTGACTTGTAAGTCTGGAGCATTTGGCTTGGTAGAAAATTATGAAACTTTGACATAATGATATTCAATGTCTTAGCTTTCTTCTCCAATTGGCCTTGTGTTAAAAT